GGCATCGTAGTCGCCCTCGCTCGGCAGCTGAGGTGGCACGCTGCTCACATTTGGTGGTATGATGGCGCCGTCGGATGCACGGATGGGTCCGTCGATGTCTGGAAGGCTCACGCGGGTGCTGACAGGGCGGGCCGGCCGCTTGGATGGCTGAGGAGGGATGAAGGCGCGACAAGGGAACGGGGCGTTGCACGCGGCCGCCCACGCCGCCTTCATCTGAGGGGTGAAGGACGAGAAGTCGACGCGTGTGGCGCACGGGCCGCTGTAGACGGTGTCTGTGGGCAAGCAGAGGAGGGAGCCGCGGGGCTTTCGCCACCCCAGCGGACACTCGGCAGTGAAGTCGTAGTCGCACGCTGCCCTCGGGGGCCACATGAGGTGACAGCGGACAGCCAGACGATACTTGCCCTCCTGCAAGAAATTGACACACAAATTAGGGGCTCGACGCATACGAATGAGCCAGTGGTGCGGTGGCCCACCTGGTCGACGTCGGCTGTGATGAGTGTGGATGCACAGGGGCCCTTGTAGTGAGGCGGAGCTGTGCATGCGGCCGTGCTGTCACTCGCAGACGTCCAGCCGAGAGGACTGCATCAGGTAGACACACACGCAATCACTCGTTGTGTGTGTCCCTTTCGGTGCATCCGAGGATGGTTTACCATTTGTGTGTGAGGTCCATGTGTTGTCTGTCGTCGCATGGCCACTCCACCTCACATGCGTGCATGAAGATGTGCTTCTCCTCATCGCTCAGCAGGCCCACCGGCTGTGTGGCGCCGCACCGGCCGCGGTAGTAGGCCGGTGCCGTGCAGTGGGTGTCGTTGACCTCGGCCCACCCCAGCGGACACATGATTGAGAAGTCTGGCTCACACGCGACGCGGCACGGCCAGGACACACCGCACTCAGACGCCCACACGGCCTTCAGCCGCTCGTCGTGCCCTGACACATCCACAGACAATTGGATGCAGCCATCGTGTCGCTTGTCTGTGTCGTGTTTGTGTGGCCACTGACTGACCAGTGAAGTCGGCCTCTCTGATGCATGGTCCGCGGTAGGTCGGTGGGGCTCTGCAGCGCTCACCACCGACGCTCACCCAGCTGAACGGACCAGACCATCATCACCATCACCAGAACAAACCAATCATCGGAAGTGTGTCTCACGCACTCCTCTCTGATGTCTTCCTACGTACCCCTGCGGGCAGCTGTATGAGTAGTCGCGTGCGCATTTGGCGCCGGTCTTTGGCCACTGAGTGCCGCAACGCTCCTCGTGGTCATTCTTGGTCCGTGGCGTAAACAATGAAAAGTCATCGTTCCCGTTGCACGAACCCGTGTAGGTGGCGGGAGCTGACGATCGACAGACACACATACACAGAGACAGTGTGCCTCATCCTCTCCGTGTCTCCAATTGAATAGATCTCTGGCTGACCGATGCAGTGTTTGCCATCTCCCTGGTCGATCCAATCAGCGGGGCACATGGTCTGATAATCAGGTTCGTTGCCGGCAGAGTCCATCAGTGAGTCCGGGTCAGGCAACCCTTCGTCCCGCGCCGCCTCAGACACAGCCGACAGGGCCATCTGCCGCGCCTCGGAGGGCGTCAGTCCGCCAGTGGACAGCAGCAGACCCGTGAACAGATGGCTTGTCACAGACGAGAGGGGCTCGCCGCCGCCGCTTGCAGACATCGATGTCTCCACGAGAGCTTTAGTCGCCTTAGCGACATCGGCCGCGAGCGTGTCGTTCAGCTGAGGCGGAGGGGTGGTTGATGAGTCAGCGCCAATCGAGAGAGAGAATGTCGCCAACAGCAACAGTGAAAGAGTGAGCGTCATCGCGGTCACACACTCGTTGAAACGGCGCTCCTCTGAGAGACTGACAGGCGAGACACGAAAAACCAAAGAATCAATGTGTACGTACGTGTGTACACACACTTTTCGATCAAAGCAATCACAGCAAGTCTCTTTCTGACGTGTTGCTTCATCTGCTTTGGTTGAGTCACGATGGCTGAGCAGAGCTCCAACAAGAGAGGCCTCATGGCGAGGATGGCTGACTCACTGCGGCTCGGTGTGGACGTGTCTGAGTGGTTCGGAACGGACAGCACATTCTGGCTGACCTACTTCGCCGTCTTCCTCGTGGCCTTCACCGAAGGTCACACAGTCACAAAACTGACAGTCACATTACCAACCAACCAACCCTGTCTCTGTGCTCTCTCTTTGTCAGGTCTAACGCACCTGAGTGGACTGGCGGTCTACGTAAGCATCCATCCATTCATCCATTCATCCAGCCATCCAGCCATTCATACATCTCTCTCTCTCTCTGTTGTTGGTGTGGAGTACACGTTCAAGGACGACCTGCAGCTGGCGCCTGCCAGTGTGTCCTTCATCTTTGTATTCCCTGCCGTCGCGTACATCATCAAACCTCTCTACGGCTTCATCTCAGACACCTACCCGGTAATTCATCACACACACACACACACACAGAATGAGAGAGAGAGAGAGAGAGAGAGAGAGAGAAAGAGACAGCAGCATGACAGTGGATCTGCGTGTGGGTGTGTGTCCTGGTGTGTCTTAGATCATGGGAATGAGGAGGAAGCCTTACATGATGATGTTCGCCTCGACACAGGTGCTTGCCTTCCTTGTGCTGGCCTTCCTGGTGCGCAATGTCGTCACGGCGGTGCTGGCACTCATCTTCCTGGCCGTGTCCGCCGCATTCACCTCCTCCATGGCTGAAGTAACAAAAGACACAGCACAGCCACTCAGGGCAGTGTGTCTGCACATTTAAATCCAATGACGTGTGTGTGTGTGTGGCATGCAGGCCTTGTGTGTGGAGTTGTCTGCCCACGCCTCGGCCAAGCTGACCGCTGAGAGCATCATGAGCCTGTTCGTCACGTCAAAGGCATTCGGCAACTTGGTCAGCCAAGCCACCCAGGCCCAATCTGACTGCACACACGGCCCCTGTCTGTCTGTCTGTGTGTCAATCAGCTGACGGCTTACTCGTCGGGGCAGCTGATCGAGTACACGTCCAAGCAGAACGTCTTCCTCATAACCAGCGCATTTCCGGTGAGCAAGGAGAACACACACAGAGCGACACACAGACATATGAACGCGCTTGTCTTGTGTGTGTGTGCAGGTGTTGATAGTCGTGGCTGCGTTGATGATGCGCGAGGTGACGACCCTCCCGGCTCAGATGCAGCGGCAGACGGCCTGGCAGCAGCTGAGGCATGTGTGGGACTTCATGCGCCAGCCTTTGCTCTTGCCGACCATCATCTACGTGGTGGCCTACATGGGCGGACCGGATTACGACGACGCGCTGTTCTTCTTCTTCACGTCAGCACACACAGAGAGAGATACGGCAGGACAGGTCGATACACGGCGCGTGTGTCATCTGTGCAGGAATCGCCTCGGCTTCTCACGTCTGCACCCACAAATACACACATACACACACACAATGTGTGTCTCCCTCCCGCCCCTGTCTCTGTGTGTGTGTGCCAGCGACGTTTCTGGGCTCGATGCGCCTCACATACGGCGTGGCGGCGCTCATCGGCGTCGGCATCTATCAGCTCGTCACCAAAGTGCCACTCAAGACGGTCAGCAGACACACACCCAGAGCAGACCTACAACACGAAAAGACACCCCCCTGCGACAAACAGATCCTGACGTGGTCGATTTTGGTGTCGCTGCCGATCTACATGCTGCCGATACTGCTCGTGCTCGGTGGCCAGACCGCCACACACAGAGAGACAGCATCATGTGGGTGTGCACTGTGTCTCCATGTGTGTGACCACGTCATGCAGGTCTGAACTCGCGCATCGGCATCTCCAACGAAGCGTCCGCCTGCACATCACACGCATCACACAAATCGCACAAACATGCATGTCTGCCTCTGTGTGAGGCATACGTCAGGTTTCTGTTGAGTGGCGGTTCTCTGCTCGAGGCGACGGCTGAGCTGCAGATCTTACCTCTCATCGTCTACAGCTGCAAAGTCTGTCCAAAAGGCATCGAAGGTCTGTGAATCGATGGATGGATGGATGGCCTGGTGTGTGTGCCATGTCTGTGTCTGTCTGTCTGTGTGTGCGTGGTGGATTGGATGAGTGCAGGGACGGTGTTTGCCATCCTGATGAGTGTGCGCAACGCCGGGGCCCTGCTCAGCAAAGCCATGTACAGACAGACAGACACAGGCCGATGTGATGGGCACACCCCTTTCTTTCTCTCTGTGTGTGTGCCGCTCCACCACTCAATGTACTCAATGTGCTCATCTCTCTCTCAGGTCCTCATTTTTCACCTACCAGCTGGGAATCACAGCCACAGACTTCACCAGTGAGTAACCGACCACACACACCACGCCACGCCCACCGACACACCACACCCACACATATATATTATATGCATATATTTCTCTGTCTCTCTATTTATGCCTACGATGCGTCTGTATAGATCTGCCGCTGTACGTGTGCATCTGTTCTGTCTGCCTGCTCCTGCCCCTCCTGCTGCTCAACAACATCCCAGACGAGAAAGACATCCCCGAGGTCATCAGAGAAGAGGAAAAGGCCCTGCTCGGCGAACCGTCTCGAGAGGCAGCATGAACCAAGGAACGAGTCAGTGAGAGCGGGAGGGAGGGGCACCAGCACCCACAAGGACCGACAGAAACACACAAAAAGGACAGCCCCCTCATCCACACACACTGTGAGTGAATGCATGACAGTGATCATCATGACTCCGTGAGAAAGTCCGTCTCCACGAAATACCTGACGCACATCCAGACACACAAAGCCACCCATACACACCGCGACACAAGCATGTACGCCACACACTTAACTTACTGGAAGCACTGCAGCAGCAGCGTCTCGAAGTCACGTATCTCCGGCGCCAGCAGCTGGTACAGGAGGGGCGGCCGACGACGCATGATGGTGGGGCTGCTGTCGCCATCTGCGAATGACGTGTACCGGGGCCGCTTGCACAGCCGACGCTCATCAACCTGATGACATGACGCACCAGAGTACATCCATCAGTGGCATGGCGTGTGTAGATATACGCGTCATTCTGACCTGTCCTTCCTCCAGCTGAGTGTCGTCGCCAACTGCGTCGCCGTCGAAGCTCTCACCTGCACGAATGCACGCAGGCAGCCAGGCAGACGCATACCAACACAGGCAGCTCTATTTTGCTAATCGTGCTGACTCACCTCTGCCCCTCCCCCGCCCAATGCCTCCTCGTCCCCGCCCTCCACGGCCCCTCATGAGCCCACGGCCCCGTCCCCTGCCGCGGCCGCGGGCATCGGCTGCACACCCGAAGGCAGGGTGCAGGTGCCGCTGCTGCTGCTCCAACATCGCCGTCCGACCGAACGCAGACCTCATCGCGTCACGCAGCAATCCTGCATGCATTGAAGAAGAATCAGTCGGAGGGGTTCGTGTTGCGTGTGTGTGTGTGTGTGGATGCGTTTCTGTGTGCGTGTGCTGGTGGCTACTTTCGAGGGCGCTGCTTGGTCTGGGTCTCTTGGCCTTGGTGGCGGATTTGCCGGCAGAGCGCCGCTGACGCACCTCAGCCACCTGTGAATGCACCAGACACAGAGGAGAGGCAGGGGCATCCTCACACTTGATGGGAGCATGTGTGCAGGTTCCCTCTTACCTTTTCTCTGGTCGGGAAGTTCGTCTTTCGTGCGGCCCGCCATGCGGTGATCTCCTCGGGCGAGTCCACCACACTCCTCCTGCACACAACAGATGACGGCGCATAGACACGCAGAGATGAATGACGCCATATAGATCTGTGTGTATAGGAATGTGTGTGCGAGAGGTTTGCCTACCCGTCTGTTGCCTTCATGTGTTTGAACCGATGCACACTCATGATGTGGGGAGGGCCACTACACACCCCACCACACACACACACACACACAGAGAGAGAGAGAGAGATACATCAGATCGCGGCTCTGATCCAGTCCTTACTCTCCCCTCCTGACCTGAAGTTGCATCCCTCCACTGGGCACGGGATGTGCTCCTCCTCCCTGTGCTGTTCCAGCGCCTCCTGCGTCTTGAAGCGCTTGTCGCACACACGACACCACACAAACTCAGACTCACGATCACTGACACACACACGCACATCCCATATAGTGGCATGGTGGCATGTTCTGCCGACACGGACAATCGGCTGCCTCGTGTCCTACCGTTTCCGGCCTCTATTGCTGTTGCTACCATGGTCACGTCCCCCGTGCCCCCTCCACGGCCGCCTCTGATAGCCGCCTCGCATAGGAAGGGGAGGACAGGAGGCTCCACCCATTCCCATCATCTGGTAGCCCGCTGCAGGGATATGCATGCAGCCCGGATAGTGCCCGTACGGCTGTGGCTGTGGCGGCCATCCGTAAGGCCGCCAGCTCATCGGAGGTGGTGGCACGGGCAGATAGGTCGACTGATGAGGATGGTGATGGTAACTCGGCTGCCGCCTTGACGGAGTGTGGCCACGATGAGGCAATTGCTGGAAGAAACACACAGGGTTTTCATTCACACACGAGTGCATGTGAACCACCACACACCTGATGATTGGAAGGGCCTGGCCTTGGTGCTTCCTCCGCCTCTTGGCCTCGCTTCTGAAGCGCCGCCCACGCAAGTTTGTTCATTGTCGAGGCACAAGAGGCTTCCCACACACGAATCGAGCGCAGAAAAGCTGGGTCGTGCCGTCTTTTTTCCTTTTCCGTCTGCGAGCTAAGCTTCGGCGATCCCTTTGCACCCGGTGAGGAAGGCGTTTCAGGCTAATTCGAAGACATAGGGAGACAAGGAGTGCCATCCGGACCACAGATCATCCATTGATCTGCGAAGTGATTCCACGCGATGGAGTCGGCATCGACGGCATCAGCGACGGAGGCAGCGCCCGAAGATGCAAAGCTGCACGAGAGATACCAGGTCACGTTGGCACCGCATCACTCACTGTCTATATCTGGGGCAGCACAGGTGTTCGTTGTTTACAGCGTGTTTTTGTCGCCTCTCTTGTGTCTGTCTGACTGTCTGTGTGTGTCTGGCTGTGTGTGTATGTGTGTGTGCAGGTGGTGATATTGGCCGGCGGGACGGGCCACAAGCTGCGAACCTTCACCGAAACCTGCCCCAAGGCACTGCTGCCTATTGCAAACAGGTCAGTGAGAAGCACCCACACACAGACAGACAGACAGACCATGTGTGTGTCCGTGGCTGCACCCAATCGACCGATCAGGCCGATGATATGGTACCCGATGAAGATGGTGGAGCAGTACGGCTTCCAGGAGGTCATCATCCTCACACGCACACACATGGAAGCCGACATACGCCAGGCGCTCGAGAGGCAGCAGCAGGAGACCGCCGACATTGGTGTGCGGTGGGAGGTGGTGGCATATGAGGACGAGGACGAGCTGATGGACACTTTCGAGGCACTCGCGCACCTCGAGGGGCACATACAGGTGAGCAGGGTGATGCCGTGGCTGTGTATGGGATTTCTTTGTGGTCTCTCTCTCTCTCTCTCTCTCTGGTTCTGCATGTGCAGAAGGATTTCTTTGTGTTGAGTTGCGACCTGGTGGGAGATGCCAACCTCAGGGCGCTTGACGGTCAGGGAGTGAGCGAATGATCGAATGCAGCACCGCATGTCTGTCTGTCTGCCTGGTATTGCTCATGGCCCCCCGGGTACATCCATCCATGCAGGGGTGCATCGGCAGGGCGGCGACGAGTCGAGAAACGCGTGCTCCATCCTTCTCGGCAAATATGGTGGGTGGCCATCAGAAACTCAGACACAGACACCGACACAGACACGCGTGATGTCTGTCAGTTGAGGAGCCGCCTAAGGGCAAGGCGCCCCCCAAGCCACAATCAAAGGGCATCAAACAGCTCGTCAAGGTGAGACGGGAGAACACACGCACCCACACGCACAGGGAACGTCGAGTCACGCCTCCGATCTTTCCGTTTTCTCTCTCTCTCTCTCTCTCTCTCTCTGTGTGTGTGTGTGTGTGTGTTAGGACAATCCTGCCCTTTGCTCGGCCGTGTTGCAGTACCTCCCGTCACCACCAGCAGCATCAGGGGTCGGCTTCGAGGAGGCGCCCATTGCCAGGGTCCTCAGAATCACCGACCTGGAAGGTGAGACGAGACGCACGCCCACCCACTGAGCGGTCCGCATGCGTTCGTTGCATGCGCCTCAGGCAAGAACCTAAGCGACCCCAAGACTCGCGTGTGTGACGAGGGCGGCATCATGCTCCTCAACAAACTCGCAATGCACACATTCGGGTGGGTGAGCAAAGAAGCCAGACAAGGACGCGCACACACGTGCACACACAAACAGCTTGTTTATGTCTGCGATCGATCAGGTGTCAGTTTCTGATGGGTACCTTCCAGGATCTGCACGTGTACCTCTTCAGCAAGAGCGTCCTCTCACTCGTGCGCATGAAGGAACAAGATGATGACCAAGATGATGACGAGGAAGATGACGATGACGATGACGATCTCGATGCCGGTGGTGGTGGTGGTGCGAGAGGTGCGGGTGAAGGTCCGCGTCAAAGCCCGCCCGTCAAGGCGTTCGTGCAGGACATCATCTCTATCAAGGTGCGGGTCGGTGGTGGCCAGCACGGCTGTGCATGCGTGTCGGTTTTGCGTGTATGTGTGTCTGCAGAAGCAGTTGGTGCCCTTTCTGGTGAGGCGGCAGCACAGCATCGACGCAGAGCGTACGAGAACACACACCACATTACACCACGACCACCAAACCACACGTCACGGCTCTCCCCCTCTCTGTCGCTTCATGATCAGAGTGGAGTGGTGTCAGCGATCCCCGTGCAGCCCCGCCCGTCACCCACAACGAGCACCTAGACGCCAATTCCATCACTCTACAAGACGCAGCGACGCTCAAACCGGTCGGTACCTGCCCACACACACACACACACGATGACACGAACACACACACACATGTGTGTGTGTGTGTGTGTGTGTGTGTGTGCAGAGGGGTGCGGCGGAGGTGCGGGCGTACGTGCAGGAAATCTTCCCCCTCGACTCGTCCCACCCCTCCCGCACCGCTTCCGTGTGCGAGAGGGTCATGACCAAGGCCATGTACCGAACACTCAACCTCAAGGCAAGCTGCCCTCTCCCTCTCTCTGTGTGTGTCTCTCTCTCTGTCTACACACATCGTCTTTGTATCTTTGTATGTGTGTGTGTGTGTGGTCGTGTAGCTGATTGGCAAGGACAACACGGGTTTGCCATTGTGGCTGAAGCCGAGCCGCGCTGACCCCGACCAGAAGGACACCTCCATCAGCAAAGAGGAGCTACGCGTAAGCTAAGCAGAGAGAGATGCACTTGCGTTGCCTGGATGTGAGAAATCTGCGGCCTTTGTGTATGTGTCCGGTTGTTGTATGTGTGTGGTGTGTCGTCAGTTCCGCTCTGACAACCTGTTTGCGCCCGACTCCTTTCCATTGCTCGACAACCCCAACTTCAGCGAGAACGGCATCAAGGCCACCAAAACGGTCTTCGGTGAGAAGAAAAAGCAGGGCAGACGAAATACATCCATCCGGGATGGAAGGATGCATTGACATTGACGGCGGAGTGTGTTGTGTTGTGTTGTGTGGGTTGTGTGGATGAAGGTCGGAATGTGCGTGTGGGGTGTAAGGTGAAGGTCAGCGAGAGCGTTATCATGGACAACGTCACCATACAAGATGGGTAAGGAAGTGGGTGTGGCGGCTGGGGAGGGAGGGAAGGAAGCTGGAAATGGGGAAGACAGACGCACACACGGACATCATTTCGTCCCCCTCTCTCTGTGTTGTGTCGTGTTGGTGTGTCGTGTGTCGTGTGTGGTGTGTGCAGTTGCAGCTTGAAGGGCTGCATCGTGGGCCGGGGCATCACCATAAACCAAGGCAGCGTGGCAAGCAAACCAAACCAGCCAGGCATAACACACGCTTGTCAGTGCAGTGCCAGCATGTATTGTATTGTGTGGTGTGCAGCTCAAGAACTACAGCGCCGCCGAGGGGGAGGACATCGAACCTGGAGGTACGTGGGTGGGCGGTGCCTTGTGTGGCCTCCTGTGTGTGTGTGTCTGGATGCATGCGTGTGTGTCTATGCAGAGGTGTGGGAGGACAAAGACTTCAACGAGTGATGATTGGATGGACGGATGGACAAGAATGTGTACGCCGAAGAATCTAGTGGAGCGGCTCACATTGTGTGGGATGGGTTGTGATTGTGCTCATGTGACGACTCTTTATGGACGGATCTGTGCCGTCGTGTCGCTCTCTGGGGTGTGTGCATGCCTTGAGGATAACAATGCGACAGCATCAGTCTGTACGTCGGTCTCGAGCAATATCGAGGGACACACACACACACAACACACACACACATGGAAGGCAAAGGGGCGGGGGTGTGCGAAGGCATCAGGCAGGGGTAATGCACCGTCAAAACATCATGACACGCGGTCAGGTCACACAGAGACGCACACACACAGACTTTTACTTTACAGGCTGCACACACGAACGCATACACACACATGGACATGGTATGAATGCGTCCATCCATCCATCAATCCATGCCAGCAATCATCCACACACTCTCATCTCACTTTCTAAGGCACAAATACTAAGGTCTCTCCCTCTCTCTCTCTCTCTCTCTCTTCTCTCTCTCTCGCACTCAACCAACAACCAGCCAGCAACATCGGCCGGCCATTGGCTTCAACAACAGCAAAAGCGACTCGACCCAGCCACCCCTCCATCCATCCCATCGTATACTTGTACTACAAATACACACACGCGGTACGCCACCCCACACCCTCCTCTGTCTGCCCCAGCCAGACTGACCCGTCCTTACTTACTGATGTCACCCGCCCCGCCCCGATCGCTCACTCACTGCTGGCACCCATTGTGGTTGTGGCTGTTCTTCTGCCGCCACGCGAGTGTCGTCTGCACCAGCTGCTTGAGCTGATCGGGAGGCAGCCGAGCCCGCTCAATCAGCTGCATCAACCCGTCCTCCGTCATGCCATTCGACCACCCGCCCTCCTGCTGCTGCTGCTGCTGGTGGTGGTGGTGCTGCTGGTGGTGGTCTGTGTGCTGGTAGTCCATGTGTGTGTGTGCGACGCCGTTGGTGTGTATGTTGATGTTGGTCGGGGGCGGAGGAAAGCCCGGAGGGGGCGGCAGCATTCTGGCTGTGTACGGCACTGGTGCGGGAGGGGGAGGGGGCGCGGGGTGGTGGGTCTGCTCTGCGAATGGCTGCACTGGCTGCTGCTGAGACTGGTGCTTGGAGGGGGCGGGGTAGCTGTCGCTGTGGTTGTGGTTGTGGGTGTGGGTGTGCATGGTGCTGTTGAGCATCTCTTGGTACTGGTCCTTGAGCTCGGCCAGCTGCTGGTCGCGCTGCGCCAGCTGCTTCGTCAGGCCCTGCACTTGCTGAAGCAAAGACAAAGGGGGAAATGTGAACGAATGGGGATGTGTGTGCGTGCGTGTGTGTGTGTGTCTGTGCGTCCACCGAACCCAACTCACCTCCTCGAGTTTGTTGTCTCTGTCGGCCTGCTCGCGTCGCATCTTGGCCAGCTCCTCCATGACCAGTGTGGCCCGGCTGTTCTCCTACACACACACACACACACACACACGTATACACAGATTGAGCCATCTCGCCTCTCCCTCTTGTCTTACCTCCTGTGAGTGCCATATGGCGTCGAATGCCTCGTTGGTCTTGGTGTCGTAGCTCTTCTCCAGCACCCGCAGGCGCTGCTCGGTGCGGTCCACACGGGCCATCACATCGTCCTGACGACGCTCCACCTCGTTGTGCCGGACGCACAGCTGCAAACACACAGGAAGGCAGACGCACACAAAGATAAGATGGTGTCCGAACGCTTTGTTGTGTTGTGCACACCCTACCGCTTTGAGGTCGTCTCTGAGTTCTTTGGCCTCTATCTCCATCTCACGCTGCCACTTGAGGCGCGCCTTAGAGAAGCTCTCCTCCTGCACATTGACACACCACACACACACACACACACACACACACATATGGAATGGATGGGTAAATGGATGGATCGAGAGGTACACGCCCACTCACTCACCGCCTCGGCCACCCACCCCACCTGTGTCTTGGTGTTGGTCATGTCGGCCTGCATGGACGTCAGCTTATCGGTCAGCGCCCCCACCTCACGGCAACAACGGCGCAACTCATCCTCAAACTGATCGAGCATTGATGATTTGAATGACCATTTCATGTCATGTCATGTCGGTAGGGCGTCGTCACCTCACCTCACCTTGTGCTGTTCCTTAGCGGTGTCGTGTACGGAGCCCTTCAGGTCAATCATGTCAACGTCCATCTAAACACACACACACAGATAGAATGAGGGACGCCACACGCACAGCATACACAAATGCACTGCATGCAGCACCGTGCACGTCTTGCTTGCTCACACTTCGCTGTCGGCTGAGTGAGTCGCCCACGCGTATCTTGAAGAGGCGGAGCTCCTTGGCGAGCCGGTCGACGTCATGATCCAGCTTCATCAGCAACTTGGGCGACAGCTTCGCCACCTGACGACACATGCATCCACACACATGCATCATCGTCCAGCCACCCGTCTTGTCTTTTGCCACCCACCTCCGCCTCCTCTGACTCATCCATCCCGTCCTCCCCCTCCCCCTCAACACATGCACCAGCAGCAGGGCCCTCGCACAGGCGGTCCGCGCTCGACGAAGGCGTCCGCTCCTCACCAGCCCCCTCAACGCTGGCAGTTTCCCCATTGAGGGTCTCCTTAGTCTCATCCCCGTGGTGGGAGGCCTGCGATGCCGTCACGGTCAGTGACACGCTGTCCTCATCGACCGCGGTGGCACTGCCGACGGTGGGCGTCACAGTGGCGGCGCATCCGTCGGCACACAACTCCAACTTATCGTCCATGGGAGCAGCCATGGCCATCTTAATCAACGCGGAATGCACAGCAAACGATGCCAAGAAAAGTGCGAGCTCGGACGAATGGCGAGCTCAGAAAATATCTGGTGCCATGGATCTGGTGGCGAGGCTCGAAGGCTCCTGAGCGAATGACGGACAACCAACTCGAAGATGTCGCGTCAGGCGAGGAAGATGGTGAAGAAAAACACTGACACTGAGTCACCGACGGAGCACACACGAGATGGATGGATGGACAGATGCACAACACACACACACCACTCGATCGATGTTCTCACTCGCCCTGTTTGTGTGTGTCTTCTCCTCGTCAGATGCGGCTCCCTCCTCATGGAACCACACGCCGCCGACAACCTCCGGGCAGTCATCACCCAGTACCAAGACCGTCCGAGTCACAGCCATGGACGCATCGGCAGGGTCGTCGGGTGGCCCCTCACCAGCACCAGATCAGCCCGCAGAGAGTGGAGAGAGGGAGGGGGATCTGAGGGCACTTGTGATGAAGATGGCTGGCCCGCCGTTCGTCTGTCCGTATGACGGCTGCGGCAAGTCATTCGACAGGAGAGGCAAGCTGGAGAGGCACGTCGTCATCCACTCTGACGCGGTCGGTCCGCACACAGCCACACACATTCACAGAGGTATTTCTTTGTGTGAGGGTGTGGTGTGTGGTGTGGTGGTGTGTGCAGCGTCCCCACGTGTGTGGCATATGCGGCGCGAGTTACAAGCGGAAGGACTACCTGGACCGGCACATCCTGACCCACTCGGCCGAGCGGGCCTTCAAGTGCCGTTATGAGGGCTGCGACAAGACCTTCACTGATGCCGACTACCGACGCATCCACGAGAAGACACACGAAGCCAGACAACACTTCTGTGGTGAGATCGACATGGAGGGAGAGAGGGAGGGAGAGAGGAAGGGTCTTACGTGTGGTGTGCATGCTGTGTGTGTGCGTGTGCAGATGTGTGTGGCGAATCGTTTCGCCAGAAGAAGCAGCTGCGTCGGCACCAGATGCGGCACTATTACGCTGCGGAGGGTGTGGAGGGTCGTGGGGACAAGGGCTTCCGCTGCAGGCACGTCGGGTGCAACCAGCTCATACACACGTGGGAGGGGCTCATGAGGCACCTCAAAAGGCACCAACGTGAGGGACGGAGGGAGGGAGGGAGGATGACAGACAAAGGGAGGGACCGACCAGCGGCAGGCACAAGGGCCTGGCCATATCTCTGTGTGTGTGGGTGTGTGCTGTGTGCATTTCTAACTTTAGCTGCCAACATGCACGAGTGTGGTGTTGACGGCTGCGAAGCCAAGTTCGCCAAGTTCAGCCAGCTGGTCGCCCACCGGAAGGCCTGCCACCCCAAGCCACCCAAGCCACTCGCATGCACACTCTGCGGCAAGGTATGGTTGGTATGCACTACTACTACAACACTACAGCTACACTTCTCTATGGAACACGCACACACATACACATCATATGGCCTGGCCGGATGTGTGTGTTGTCCTGTGCCTCCCTCCCTTAATCAATCAGCGGTATGCGACCGAGAAAGGCCTGGAGAGCCACATGCAGACGGTCCATCCGGACGGCTCCAGCGAGCCCGAGAGGTTTTTGTGCCCTGTGCCGGGATGCGGCAAGACATACACAAGGGTCAGTGAGTCAGCCACCCCCACAGGCCTTCTGATCGGTCTCATGGATGGATGGATGGATGGATCCTCTGTGTGCCCAGCGTTGGATGTTGTCTCAGCACCATCGTGTGGTGCATCTGGGCGAGCGGCCGTTCAAGTGCCCCTACTGCCCCGACGCTTTTGGCTGGAAGCGCGTCTTGCAGAACCACATCGCCTCTTGCCACCCAGAACACGCTGAAGCACAGGATGACGACGACTCCACCAACCACGATCCTGACGACGACGCTGTGGGGGACGCCATGACAATGGACATGGAGGCAATCCAAGATGACGACCACCACGAGCAAGAGCCTAGTGCAGAAGCAGCCCCGCCCCCACCCCTCCCCCTTCCCCTTCCCCTCCCCGCCCCTCCCGAAGCCTTTACTGGTGCGCCTCCCGCCGCCCTCCCAATGGCTGCGTCTCTGCTGCATCTTCCGAAGAGCAAGGGCGGCCGTGGCAAGAGGGTGATTGACGCCCCGTGGCTGATCGACATGGAGATAGTGGGGATTGGCGACAAGAGGCGGAAGATCGACCGTCTGCTGCACTCGGGAGGGTCAAGGGCACCTGTGCGGAAGAGGAAACAAGGGGGCAGTGAGGCAGTGGATAATGTGGGTGTGGGTGTGGACGTGGAGGTGGAGGTGGGTGAGCCAGTTGGTTGATGTCAGGCAGTGTGTCTGATAGATGCGTGGATGGATGGATGTGACGTGATGGCTTCGAAGGAAGATGTTTTGAGTGTGCTCTGCTTTGTGGTGTGTTGCGTTGCGTCGCGGACGGACACAGAGGACATTCTTCTGTTCTTGACCGGCGATGAAGGCAGGCAGGCAACGTGATCATTGATATCCATCACATCAGTCAGGGCTGCACTGCAGGCCACACACACCACGCCCTCATGCTTTCCCTTCCCACATCCATCCATCCATCCATCGTCTGTCTTTGACACACAGTCAACTCAACCAACATATACACACACATTACATTCCTCCACCCACCCCAAGTTTCATTCAGGTAGATCTCTCCATCCGCCGCATGAAATGAGGTAGATCTCTCCATCCACCACATGGATGTCACACATCCCTGCCATGGCCATGCATCTCTTGCCTCCCTGATGTGATGCAGTCACTCACTTTGGCGGAGCTGTCACTTTGACTCACTGTGTCTGTCTGTCAGTCTTCTCTCCCTCCCTTGTACTGCTCGTCTCCGCCTGCCTCTGACCCCTCCCCCTCTCCCTCTCCCCCGACCCTGCCGTCCACCGTCTCTTGACCTCCTTGGTTGAGCTCTTTATCGTATAGCTTCTTCCACAGCTTCTTCTCCCTGTCTAGCACCTGCTGCCATTCGTCCACATCCAGCTGGCGCAGCTTCTGAATGGCCTGGTACAGCCGCTCCCATCTGGAGGGATCCTCGAACGGCACGTTGATCGCCATCAGCTCGATCTCGTATATCAGCACCTGACACAGACAGACAGACAGGCAGACAATTCAACTTGCGAGTGTGAGTGGATGGGATGGATGCTGTTGGTGGTTTGGTTGCGGGTAGGTTTGCATGCATGTCGGTGTTGCTCGGTCGCTCACGCACGTCGGTGTACATGGTGGGGAAGGCCATGTCGGGGGGCACAATCACCTCACGAATGCCTGCAGGCACAGCACAGCCAAACAGACACACAGTGGATGGATGGTGTGCAGTAGACGGCAGGCAGCAAAGCACAGCGTCAATGCAATGCCCACCTCCTTCCCTCATGCCGCGAACCATGACGTCTATGGCAGGAATCACCAGACTGACCACACACCCACACACACCCACACACACACACAGACCCACATGTGTGCTGATATCAAGGACCCAGGAGGACTCCATCCATCCATCGATCCATCCTTACCCCTCGCTGTCTCCGATAACGAATTTGACGGGTCTTCCCCTCTTGTAGGAGGTGTCGAAGCTCCTGCCGCTCTCCACGCGCCCGTGGTAGTTGACCCGCACCCGCATCCCCTCCTCCGCAACCCCACCGAACCCGATCAGCAGATCGCGCCACATCATCCCGCTGCAGTGCACTCATCCGTCCGTTCATCCAGTCCACGGCACACAGCATACATACAGCAGAGGGAGGGGATCAGTGGAGTGCATCCTGTGTGGTCGGCTCGCTCACTGTTCGTCCCGCTGGTAATCGGGCTTCTTCTTGAATTTCTTGTTGAGGAAGTCCTCCTTCTTGATCAACTCGCACATTGCCACTGGAGGCCGCCACCAGGAACGCCCAGACAAGAACTGCCATCGGTCCATCAGCTCCCGCAGATCTGAGCCGCTGCGAAAACACCTTGGTCGACGGCATGCTGGGGGATGCTGTGAGCGCTGGTCTCCATGCCGCATCTGGCCTGCACCTGCATCTGCACAGGAGGCTCCATCGGCCTGGTTGGCGTCGGTTCGCGGAGATCTTGGTCGCTGTCTAACAATCCAGCCGCCTGCAACTGCTGCAACGGCGACGCTCGCCGCACCGACGACCCTCTGAGAGCTCTGCATGAGCTTTCTCACACTTTTCAATCGCAAGGCTTCGGGTTTCAGGGTTTGGGCGGGGAGGTCATGGGCCGGCGCAGGATGGTCTCGTAATGGGCAACAGAGTGCCGAGGACGAGCAGCCAGCAGGACTGGCCTGCCATCCGCAACCAGAGCCTTGACGTCATTCATCGAGAGGGGAGAGATAGCCTGCACAAGATCAAGGCGGTCGGCAACCTCAGGATCAGCGCCCGGTTCCTCTCGCGCGTCGACTTCGAGCCGGCTGTGCTCCGCCGCCGCCTCCGCCGCGCCCTGCACGACACCCAACTCGCCGACGGGACGCCGCTGGATGCCGTGGTGACATTCGACGTAGACAATCTCGGGAGCAAGCTGCTGCTGCAGGTATGGGTGCCTTGTACGCGTGGGATGGATGGATGGATGGATGGACGGACGGACGGACGGACGGACGGATGGACGGATGGATGGATGGATGGATGGATGGACGGATGGACGGATGGACGGATGGATGGACGGATGGACGGATGGATGGATGGATACTCTGTGTGTGTGTGTGTGTGTGTGTGTGCAGGCGTGGTGGCTGGTGGAGGGCCAGAGATGGGACGAGGCGGCCGACGCACTGCGGCTGGCCCATCAGCTCACCTATTGTGAGCTGCCGGTCATCGTCACACAGCAAGATCTCGAGAAACACCGTAGCAAACAGGTGAGTGGGCTGATAGGGGAGGGGGACGGATGGGTGGCACTTATCTTTCTGTGTGTGCTGTGACGGATGTGTGACGTCAGGCGTATTTGGCTGAGCCGCGTGTGGTGGCGCTGTGGAAGATGCTCGGCCGCTATGTCGACTTTGGTGGCGAGCGGGGCAGATTTGAGCTGTTCGACCACGGCAATGGCGACCTGCGGGCAATCACGGACGACCCCGAGTACCGCCTCGATCTGACCCCCCTGCCCCCCACCCACGCCTACCACCCACACGCCAGCTCCCACAACCCCCCGTCAGACACCACATCGTCGGATACGACGACGGCTGCTACACTGACATTGATGACATGATCACCGAGCGTCTTTTTCCTCGTTCCTGATGAGCACCATGATGCTGCCCACCTACGGCGACATGCAGAATACCATGCACTTCATAGACCGGTCGGGCAGTCGGGACGGCGCACGACATTCCCTGTCCTCATTGATGCTTCATTGGGTTGGCTGTGTGTGTCTGCAGTGATGCCCGTGGTGCCGTGTTGGCGGGCCTGCTCGATCGGTCGGTCCACCAGTCGGTTGAGGGCGCCACGGCCGCCATGGCGTGGACCTTTGCCAACGACACACCATGCAAGTTCAAGCACTTGCTACTGACGCCGTTCGACCACCCCTTCATCGCATACATCGCCATCGACGACTCGGGGGATGGACAGGGCAAGCTACAGACGACAGAGGGTCACTCAGACAGACAGCCCATTCCGCTGTGCTGTGTGTCTGCAGTGTCTGTGAGGGTGTTCACGACCGAGCAGCCAGCAGCGGGTGTGTCTGCTGATGCGCCCTTCAAGGACCGCTTCCCCCGCACCACCGCCCTGGCGCGCCCCGTCCTGGGACCGATCGCACCCATTGTGTTCGACGGCGAGGCGGCGTAGCTCGTGTTGGAGTAGAGGGAGGGGGGTAGACAAACAAGAGGGAACGAGATGAGAGAGGCATGAGGGACACCACATCTCACACACGGGGCGAGACGTGTGTGTGGATGGATGGCCTGTGTGTACGTGGTGAATGGCCATCCCTTCTGTGAGTGACTCCTGACTGTACAGATCCATGCGTGTGAGCATCAAACGTTATGATGAAATCACGTCTGTTGTCTTGTTTCATTATCGCGCACACGAGACTGTCCGTCTGCTGCACACTGCCCTTTCTGCACAGAGAATACTACACATGAGTACGACCACAGACGCCCCATCGGGAGTGTACGTCTAGACAATCAGCAGCGCCCCATATCACCCACTCCAGCAAGCTAAGCAGCGTGGCACTCGCCTCCACCGACAGCTCTTAAAGACATATATATCGACACACACATCCATCAAGCACTCTGTCTGTCCGTAGGCTACACATCTCAGTCAGTCAGTCAGTCAGCCCGCCCTGTGGATTCCATCGATGCAAACACACACTCCATCCATCAATCCACCCATGCCCGAGCCAGTACGTGTGGACGTGACAGATAGGAAAGACACGCACGACAGCCGGACGAGCATCCAGCCATGAAGATGGCAATCCCTCCCCCCTGTCCATCCACATGCTGTGTGTATAAGAACGGTGGATGGGCTATCTGTCCTTTCTGTCTGGTTGCCCCTCACCCCCTCATCTAAGCCGCCAAGTTGAGCTTGAGGCAATAGTCCCACACCCCATGCACACACTCACTCTTCTTGACAGTGTAGTGTGATGCTACCCGCCCGGCGCACTCAGCCGCAAACGAGCGGAGGTCGGCCAGCTTATTGGCCACAGTGTCTCCCTCCAGCTCACTCTCACGCAACCATGCCTCCAACTCAACACGGGCCGGTCGCAGGACTGGGGCTAGCTTGATGGAGTCAGTCAAGCCTGCCTTATCGGACAAGCCACGGCAAACCAGGCGGTGTACAAGAGGGTGGCGGACACCCCCTGTGGCAGGGGGGTCCGCCGGCCACTCGCACACCTCACGCCCAGCACACTTCTCAATCGTGACCTCATCTAGCTGTTCTACGGACAGGCAGCAGAGAAACTCATGGGCGGCAGCAAGGCTTGACACAAAGCTGAAGGTGACACTCTTGAGTGTTCTCAGCCCGCCCAAAAACGGTGTGTGATGTCTGCTGACGGCATACACGTCAGCCATGGACAGTGACGGACAGCACATCTTCAACTCTTCTACAGCGGGGAAGCATCGGCTGGTCGGCCCTTGCCCCTCCCCCTCCCCCTGCCTCTCGGTCAGCCATGTGGGGATGCTGTCGACCACTGCCGATGCACTCGCGCCGCGCTTGTTGATGGTGAGCTTCTTGGTGTTGGTGAAGATGAGCTTGTCACGCCATGACTCGTGCAGCGCTGTGCCACCGAGCTCCAACCGAACCTGATACGACAAGCAGACACAGGCATTTGGCGCTGTCTGATGCACTCCCTCCCTCCCTCCCTCCCTCCTTGTCTTGTCTGTGCGTTCCCTACCTCTGTCGCATTGGCCGCCATCCGCGTGGCGATCTGTCCGCAAAGTCCGCTGGGTGCAGGGAGGGCAGTGGCAGCGCCACTGCTGCAGTCGATGACCAGCATGTTGGCACGCCGGCCGGCTGGCTGCCAATCGACCTCGCACTTGGCGTCCGCCGCCCACCTACGAAAGGCCTCCATGTTGGCCATCCCCTGCTGGCCGTAGCCCACACCGATCGACGTGTTGGGCACGACGAAGCCCAACTTCTTGCGCACCTCTGCAGTCAGCACACAGTGCTTTGCTAGAGAGAGTAATCATGTGGGTGCTCGCGCCTGATGTACCTTTCTTCTCTGGCTTGTCCCAGTGGCTCTTGAGGGCGGCTTTGAGCTGATTGAGGCGGCCGAACTGGCTGGGGATGTCGATCACCAGAGCGGTGATGGTGGTGAGGCTGGGACAGCGGCCGAGGGCGGCGGTGAAGTCGGCCCACTGGCCGTCGTCGACTCTGATGCGGTCGACTTCCAGCCGCTCGAGCTTGGGGGACTGGTTGAGCAGACGCACCAAGGAGGCGGCATCCTCACTGTAGCGGATGCAGTAGATGCGGCCGAGTCGGAGTGTGGTGAGTGCCGGGAAGGTCCAGCAACGAGCACTGCAGGCACAGACGACCCAAGACAAGAATGACTACGCGGTTGCGCCAACCCTGACTCCCTCTGTATACCCGATAAACTTAAGATCTTCCCGCCCACGGATGTCCATGTGTGTGACTTTGGAGAACACGATGGGCTCGGCATCCGGCGCCCGTGCGCAGTACTCGACGTCCAGCGTCATCTTCTTGAGCGTGTCCTTGTTCGCCTCGACGTCCAGAGTCATCTTCTTGAGCGTGTCCTTGTTCGCCTCCAGCAGCTCCGACACCACAGGCGGCATCATGTGGAGGCTGGACACCTCCACAAAGGCCGTCTTTACATTGCCCTGCAAACACACACACACACACACACAGCGACAGAGCGCTGCACAGACACGCTCCCTCTTTGTGTCCCGTGTGAGGTCTCTTACCGGCATGTGCGGCATCTTCTTGACTTTGTATGCATTCTCTACCACAGAGACGCCCGCGAACTTGCCGAAGAGGCCAAGTGTCGTCTCGAGGGCCTTCGTGAGGGTCTTGGCCTGCATTCACAGAGAACAAGGTCACGCATCACAGCTCCGCCAAACGACCCTCCACTCTCATCTGACCTCGTCTTTCAAGTGCTTGAGCGTCTTGATCTCGCGGTAGGTGGGCTCTTCGTCACGCGTCATGGTGAAGGTGCGGAAGACGCCGTAGATCTTGTCGGTGGCCTTCATGTGGGTCTCCCTATTGACGCGCGTGAGGCTGCGGACATTGTTGATGGTGGTCAGGAAGGAGCCCAGCTGGCCAATGACGGCTGCAGGCAGACCCGGCAGACACGGACGGCCGTGACCCTTCTGACACACAGACAGGCATCAGGTTGAGAAATGTGTGTGGACATCCTCGTATTACCTCTGTCACCTCTAACGGGACGCCCTGCTGCTGTGTCGCTGCTGCAGCACCACACGCACCAACCGGACCACCTGAAGGCACCACACAGGACAGCCATACATGGACGTTGTCACATGTTTGCACCCCATCAGTGTGTGTGTGTGTTGTACCTCCACTACTCGCATCAGCCAGGGCGTCTACACGTTCACGCTTGCCGTCCTCACCAACCGCCACCTGAACACATGATGTGTGTGACGTCGGCCTGTCTATGAGTTTGTGTGTACCTCCTTGCTGTGCTGTTGTGTATCCGCATCGGTATGATCATTGCGCTGACACGGACAGACAGACAGACAGAAGTGGAATGATCGGCGTGTGTGGGGCAAGTGTCTATCGCTCGTGCCATCCTTACCTTTGTGTTGTGGTCAGTGGTATGTGCCATGTCTTTGCGGAGGGCGGACTGGACGTCGCTGAGAGTCCTCAGGTAAGCCGACAGGCGGCCAGCCAGCGACGCACCACCATCCTGCAGACAGCAGATCGACAGGACAGTGGGTAACGGATAAGTGCCGCTGCTTGGCTGTCTGTTTTCCCACGCGCACCTGTGTATCGTTGTCGGTATGTATGGCTATGATGTCCTCTGCCCGCTCAAGATCAGACGCAAGCTGAGGCAAAGACTGCAAGCCAACACCAACACAGCGAATGGCACTCCTTGCTGCATGTCATGTGTAGGCCCCTCTCCTCTCTCCCGTCTTACCGAACGCATCGAACGTATCTTCTGCAGAAGATCTCGAGAGCCACCGCGGCCCTGCCCACCTGAGCACAGTGTGCGGCCGGTCAATCACACCCGGTGCGTGTGTGTGGAGGTGGTGGTGGTGTGACCTGCAGCTGCAGAGGCGGCCGGGCCGTCATGTTTGTCTAAGTCCATCAATCCGCCGTCAGCCATCTGCGCTGTCGCTACTAAGTCGCTTAAAAACCTCACAGCTCACCACCACCACCTGACAAAAACACCAAATTTAAACAAACACAGCCGCAGTCCCAAACGTTGTTCTCTTTGTTTGTTCCTCTGCATCTCGTCTGCCCTGCTGCCTGCTGCCTGACGGTGTCTGCCTTCCTCTGCTCGTCTGTTTGCTCGCCTGTCTGGCTGGCGGTCATCGCGGCTCGGATGAGATGAGAGACAGTGATCAAAACATCGCCCCGCATTCCACCGACATCCCTTTCTGCGATACGATTCACCTCGAGTGCACTCTTTGAGCTCGCAGCGTAAATGGAGGAAACTTTAAGGTGGTGGCCTCCAGCGCTGCTGGTTGTGTCAGAAGTGCAAGTCGGTCCAGGGTTTAGGGTCTAGGGTTCATAGACCGACGATCCACTGATCTGTGAGACAGGACGGCTGTTGAGTCTTTGTCCGTTCCATGAGACAGGCCATGGCGGACAGGACGTC